GCATCCATTGTTCCGTAAAATGGCTTCCGCCGGACCACCACCCCCAGAGAGAAACCTTTCCTTACCTGGACCCAGCGGCACTAAACCAAAACTGCCGACGAGATGTTGGAAGAAGAACCCGCCAGTGAAGAGGAGGAAGAAGGTGCGTCATTCTCCGAAGAACCTAGTTTAAGTCATAGTGATATTAAGTGTCTCATAGAGTTAACAGAAAAAATTAAGTCCATCGTTTCCCGCGACACTGACGATGAACGCCATGACGTCTTCCATACCCGACTGGTGCAGGCTATGGAGCCGTACATCACGGTGTATCATGACAACATCAAAGCCAGCCGTCAGCAAAGCATAACCGAGTTCTTCGCCCGCAACCCACCACAGCCAGCCCAAGCCAGTGATAGTGAAGTTGATTTTGAGGGATTTGTCAGGGAAGCCATAACAACTGTAAGTGACAGTGATATTGATTCACCTAGTAATGGTGATTCACCTAGTAATGGTGATTCACCTGAGGGGCAGTAATCTGCCCTCTGCCTCGGAACCAGCCTCCATCCCCGTATGCCGACCCATCTCTTCTACTACCGTGAGTGTTCCTCAAAAATTTTCGTTTTTTAACCTATTCTTTATTTTTCCTATGTTAACCTTTATCTTTCCTAACCTAACCTCTTCTATATTACAGTTGTACCCCACTTAACGCGGTCAATTGAACCCAGAGGGTCCCGCGTTAAGTGAAAACCGCGTTAAGTGAATAACAGAACATATGGGATTAATTCCAATAGAACCCAGCCCGACCCCCAAACTCCACTTTTTGACGACAAATAACTATGTTGTAGTAAAAATAACATCTTAATTTTATGATGGTACATGCACACAATTAATACTTAAGAGAAATAGAGAAATACAGTCGCCAAGTTAATGTCCATTCAAATAATGGACTCAACTCCCTCCCCCTCTTCTCACACTACACTCACTGGCTCTTCCCTCTGAGAAATTTTTGGGGGAAAACCAGGTATAGTAATAAATAATTCCTCAAACTAAAGTTAGGATAATATAATTGACATTGCTGGATTCCTTGTAAGACCAGGAATATTTTGAATATAAATGTCATATATTTTTCACAAAAGATAACATATTTACTCAGATTAAACTTTACATCTAAAATTTGTATGTCTAATGCAAAATCTATGATGTTTATATTTAAAATGATCAGCAAATTGTAAGAATTCCAGCAATGTAAATTATATTCTGGCCGGATAATTTGTATGAATTTTATGAGCTAAAACAAATATCTTCAGTTAATAAAAAAAAAAAAATATTCTTCACGACACTATCTGTCAATCAAAGTACCCCACCTTGCTTTCCCCCCCTCTTCCAACCGCGTGGTCAGTCCCAACCCTCCCCCCACCCCCCACCAATCCTCCATTCAAGAGTTTTTAACATTTAGTATTAAATAATACCTCAGATTAAAGTTAGGATAATATAATTGACATTGCTGGATTCCTTGTAAGACCAGGAATATTTTGAATATAAATGTCATATATTTTGGACAAAAGATAACATAATTACCTAGAGAACAATTTTTATCTAAAAATTGTATGTTTAATGCAAAATATATGTTGTTTATATTCAAAATGATCACCAAATTATAAGAATTCCAGCAATGTAAATTATATTCTGGCTGGGTAATTTGTATGAATTTTATGAGCTAAAACAGGCAGTCAGGCAGGGTGGCGGGTGGGGGGGTGGTGCGAATCTAAAAATAGCTCTCGAGCCGGACACTCACCGTGTATATGATGAAAAATGCCGCGTTAAGTGAAAGTTCAGCTTTGGCAAGGCACCGCGTATATGCGAAAACGCGTTAAGTGAAAGCGCGTTAAGCGGGGTAATACTGTACTTGTTTTTCATGCCACCATAAAGTTAAGATAGAATTTTTACTACAACATAGTTATTTGTCCTCAAAAAGTGGAGTTTGGGGGTCGGGCTGGGTTCTATTGGAATTAATCCCATATGTTCTGTTATTCACTTAACGCGGTTTTTTTTTTTTTTTTTCTCTCTCCAATTATACACGTGCAAGTACTGAATACCATGATATATGTGGCCATCCCTCTCCCTCTTCTTATGTTCGTTCACGAAACTTTTCAGGCTTCCGGCCTGGGTTTTTTGATTACTCTCAACATGAAGGCCAGAGTTAAGTTTTTCTCTTCATAACTCTATTTTGGTCATGTCCTCAGTAGCGGGTTCAGCTTTTCCAGAAGAACTTTAGCGAGGCTGCTAGTCTTAGTGATCCTTCTGGTCTTACAAGCAATCTAGAGTAATGTTGGGATGAACCTTGTATCCTAAGTATGGGTTAAATGAGAACCATTCGGGGTGGAATTCTCAACCTAATACATCTCGCTAGAGTAATGGTGAACGACGTTAGCCAATGGAATTCTATGGTAGCAGCTCAGCACTGTCAACCCTTCTGGGTGACTTGATGCTCACCCAGGCATCATCGTTCAAGCATGGTTAATTGAAGTGTACACTACAATATTTCTTATTAAGTGATGATAAATACACTACATAAGTATTTATTTAGTGGTGATAAATACACAACAATGGTATTTATTAAGTCATGATAAATACAGTTACTCCTTGACTTACGACAACCCAGACATATGACCGCCGTGATCGTATAAAATATTTTTCAAATTGCATGTACGTATTTCCTAGTACCGACGTTAGTGTTCGCGCTGTGTACTGACAAAATTTTCTTTTGTAATTCCTTTTAAAATGGCTGGTAAGCATAAAAGTGAGAGTTCTCGTGGTGCTGAGAAGAAAAAGAGACACCGATTTTAGAATTTATATGTATTATTTTCACCTTTTCGACTTACGACCAATTTGACTTACAACCTGGTCGTCGGGACGGAACCCTGTCATAAGTCGAGGAGAGACTATACACTACAATAGTATTTATTAAGTGATAATGAATACACAACTGAACTGTACTAATTACTTAATGTTGAAGATAGACATTGTGGTAAGCAGCTAAGACTATCAGCTGTCTGAGCCAAACAGTTTGGCCTTTGTTTTCAGGAAATGTGATTCTTTTAAGATAATAGTTTCCACCCTGGCACCAAATGAACCTTAATTATATGAGAGTTATGGCAAAATTGCATAAAGGCATGTTAAATGGATCTTGGGGGAGAGAGGGGGGCCACCCACCCACGGTCCCCCCCAACCCATCCCCTCTGCTTGTAGCTCCCAGATATACGCTCGTTTTCCACATACAATATACCCCTACTTATTTGTTCTTATTTTATCTTTATAGTACTGCACAGTGTACTGTTTTCTCTTTATTCATAGACAAATTCTGTGGCTACTTACATATAACACTACAGTAGAAGTCCAAAAATCCGGACTGCTTGGGGATTGGGTCGGTCCGGATTTTCGGATTTTCCGGATTCTCAGGCAGTACTTTTAAAATTCAAATTTAAGGAGGAATAAAGAAGAGATGAACAGGTACATTTTGAGAGTTTATTCATAAGCAAGTAAAGCATGCTTCATTTATCAAAACGAGCAGTTTTAAAGAAAAATAAAGTCAACACTTGACAAAAATGTAAACAAACTGTCTAATACCATGATGAGTCTTGAAATTCCTGAGCCAGCCATCGCTAAATGCTCACTCTGATTCAATGTTTATTTGCTCCTTAAAAGACTTTGCTTTGGCAATAAGCATCAGCCCATAAATTGCCATACCTTCTGATCGTTTTAACAAAAACCATTTATGCAACGCTTTAGCAAGATTTTATAATTTGGGCCAATGTAAACTTTTTCTTTCAGCAATTTTATTGTAAGGCTCAGAAGAAGCTGTGAATTCTAGAATTTTATTCTTTGCCTTTTTTATATCATAAATTGAAGACTTTCCAATGTCATATGTTTCCATTAGATCAGTATTGCTCACATCACGTTCTAGTTTCTTAATTATTTCAAGTTTGTCACTCAATTTCAATGTGTTCTTCTTTCTCTTCACACAACGAAGTTCATCTACTTCAGGAGCCATTATTATGGGCTTGTACTCTGTAAATGAAAAGAGTAGGACTCAAAATTACATACGTTGTCACAGTTTGATTGCTTGTTTTAAAGTGGCGATTGCGTGGTTGCTTGTTGTCGCTGTGGCGTTCAGGCATGCACACATACACACAAAAGATTTATAGTGCCACAAATTTTACATTTGAGGACAAGCTAATTACAAAACTAACAAAATTAGCTACCTATAATTTACAATTACTTTTATTATTAGAATTATGTAAATTAATTTTTTTAAAGGAACGCCATTCATTCACGTAACCCACAAAAGCCCGCTAAATTTAAAAAGTTTTAAAGTTTTCGAAAAGTCCAGATTCTCGGGTGGTCCAGATTTCTGGCATCCGGATTTTTGGACTTTTACTGTATACAGTACAGCAAATAACAATCATCTTGGTGAAAACAGTTGTTGATAACCAGACTTGGGTCTTATTTTCAACCCAGAGAGTTCTGTTTCTTATTTTTTTATTGTTAATAAAATTCTTTTAATTATCTTGTTATACACATACTGTACAGACCTTAGTTGTTGAAGTGCAGTAAAAACATTTTAAAAAAATTCTTTTCTTTAAACAGTTCATATAAGCAGTGTTATCTCCCCCCCCCCCATATATTCAAAATTTTCGGTATTACATTGCCATCTTTATGCCAGGTAGCATAAAGAAAGAAGTGCAAGTTCTAAGGTAAGGTAAGTTGAATTTCTATATACTGTAGTGTACAACCTTCAATACCTTATATGAAGTGCTTTTTGATGGCTCTGAATGGGGGAAAAGGAAACTCTCACACTAATGGACAAGGCTTGTATGAGATAGTCTGGTATTGAAAGGGTTTACTGTAGTGTGTAAGTTTATCCCAGCATGAATCAAGGGCAAACACATTTTCCTATTATCACCTGTCATTCATTGTAATAGTCAATACAGCAAATACACTAAGGGATATCATTTTTGCAGGTACCAGAAGATGTTCGTGCTAGAAATGACACCAAGAAGTTGGACTTACTAGCTGAATTAGAGCAGAGTAAGGATGCTATAAAACAACTAGAAGCCATGGAGACTGAGTGAAAGCTCATATTATATTGATTTGAAATATTATTGCAATAGTACTCATGAAAGTTGGTAAAATTTATCAGTTGTTTGACCAAATAATGTTTATCTAGGTTTTATATACTAATGTTTATCTATGATTTATAAAACCATGGAAGCTTTGTTTCTGTTGTTTTCACTTTTCTTTCTCAGTAATCAAGGATGTAAAGTTTCCAATTTCCAGTGTGTGGTGTATATTTTTCAATATTTAATAAAAATGTGTAGAGATTATCTGAGTAAAAATTTATGGGATCCTTTTTTTTTCCCTTGATCTCTTTGGAGTGTACTAAAAGTGGCAGATTTATAGGTATGAAGTAATGGTGAATTTTTGAGTAGAGTGTCTTATCTGTTAAATGAAGTTATTTATCATATCAAGAAGTATACTCGTACAGGGGTCCCCAGGTTACGAATGGGTTCCGTTCCTTAGGACATTTATACCATAAGTCAGATTTCTACATAAGTTGGAACACATGCTATGTGCTTACTGTACTTAAAGAACAATGTTTTAAATCTCACTACAGTGAGTTCTGCTATAACGCGTGTTTTGACAACGCGAATTGGCTCGAACGCAATTTATGAATAGAGGAACAATATTTGTATAACGCGAACGCTTGTTTGCTGTAACGCGATTTTTGCTTACTATTTCTCCAATCTTGTGGTATTAACTGTGAATATGGTAAAGAAAAATATCTCCAAGAAGCGTTCTTGTGATCGCATTCCGGTGATGATCATAAAAGAAAGGATATAACACTTGAAGAGAAGCTCGATGTTATCAACCTCAAAATCACCCTTCTCCCCCATCAAGTTATATTCATATTTTTTCAAGGTAAAGTGTTACATTTACTGTATGATTTCATTATTAGATATGAATGTAACACTTATTTAGACTGTGCTATCCTTTGTGTTAGGTTAACTACTAATTTTTTTCGATTTCGAGTAATCTGCACCTAACCCTATTTTCTCCATAAGCCCTGTTATTTCTATTACGCGATTTTCTATAACACGATATTTTACAAGAACACAACTATCGCGTTATAGCAGAACTGACTGTATATCATAGCCTAAGTCCTTATATACATCTAAAATCACTTAATTTAAGAGAAAAGAAGAAATAATGACAAAATATTGTAAATGAAAGTAAAAAATAATTCATCGCTTGAATAAAATACTGTAAATTTCTAGTTTAATCCCGTTCGTATCGGCGAGTGTTCGTAAGTCAGGGACCCCCTGTGTAAATATTCCTCGTTCAACAATGGGATTGCGCCCAGAAAACCTAACAATCTAAATATCACTAAATAAAGGGTAACAGCAAAGCACGGATGGCGAACAACAGGTTCAAATGGCAGGGTGGTAAACACTGAGTACAGTACTCCCAACTAATAAAAATAAAATTATGTTATAAACAGTTTTGAAGTTAAATGATTGATTTATTAATTCCAAACTTCTATATAAAAGATATGGTGCAGAATTAAATGATTTAGTGAGCATAAGGGTAACTTAATTCAAACAAATTTCAATTGCATAAGTCAAAAATTAACAATAATTGCTATGATAAACAATAAAATTGATACATAGTATATCAATAAATACAGTAACATATATTTTATGTACAAAAAATAGTTCCGTCCACACTCAAACCATCTTCTGGGTGACATTACACAGTTCAACTACTGCCGCACTGCGCAATGTGTCTGCTGTGATGTCGCATTAGGGAGAAAGAGCGTGCCTGGGTGGCGAGTCGACACTGCAGTTACAGCCCATTGCCTCCACACACGTTCACTTCATACACATATATACCTATGCTTTTCATTTTTCTTATTTCATAGTTTTATATTTATATTTTCTATACTTCCAAGTCACATTAGAATATTGTAAGGATTTTCCACACCTTTTATAGTTTCATTACATGCAGCAATGGCAACATGCCATCTCTCAGGCCACCTGATCCCCAGTTTTTTTCCTTCCCAGTGAGTCAAGCCGAATTTTGACCTCGTTAAGTGAGGAAGGGTTAAAAAAATTATTTTATTGCTCAAAGCTTGCAACTAAGGCCTAGCTAAGGGTCAGTTTGTAGCAAAGCATCATTGGCTGGCAGATGGACACCCAAAGAATCACTAAAGTTCTTCACTATTTATTTTGATAATGCAAAGCAGGCATAGATGGCCCATGGGCTGCATGTCTTCATGCAGCCTGCAGAGTAATTGAGAAATGGTATTTATAAAATGTGGCTTGCAGTTCAGGTAGATGCAGCCAATTTATGGTGAGTAAAACAATATTTATTAAAAGAATAATCCTCACACACAATTCATTACTGTTTCATCACCTAAGAGTAAGTACCTACGAAAATGTAACAGCAAAATAAGTACAGTACTGTATACATAGTCAACAATATAAACATTTTAACCTGTGTAAGTTTATGGGCCAAGTTTGACGCGGTATGCGTTAGCTACTATGTGACAGTGGGTCACTTGGGAATTAATTAAGATTGGGTAAGACCAAGTGGGTTCATGGGCTATGGTCACATGGGTCAAAGGTAAAGGTCTTTTCCATGTTGACAGACTGTCTTTCTCCATAGTACCTCATCCTTCATGCCTGGCTCTCTGTTCTGTCTATTAATTCTTGTATGATTAGGTCTCTCCATGAGTATATTATAACCTTACCAGTCAACAGATCAGGAAATTAAAATTTATTATTATTATTATTTATATATATACAGTGAATCCTTGCTTTACGTGGTTTCACTTTACGCGTTTCTACATTTACGCGGTACCCTGCCAGAACCGGAATTCCCATTTTACGCGGTGCATCTACTCATATACGCGGGTGAAGTATAATTTTTTTATTTAGCTCATAAAATTCATACAAATTATCCGGCCAGAATATAATTTACGTTGCTGGAATTCTTACAATTTGATGATCATTTTGAATACAGTGGCCCCTCGGTTAACGAACTCAATCCGTTCCAAAAGGTCGTTCGTTAACCGAAACGTTCGTTAACCGAAACCATTGTTTCAATGGGTTTTGCACTGGTTCCAGCTCTTCCAGTACTTAACTTCAACAAAATGGCGGAAAATTACTTACTTTGAGGTGTATGAGAAGGCTCCTGGATGATGGTGACATGCATTTGAAGTGGGAGGTGCAGGGAGGAAGGAGAAGAGAAGGAAGTGGAGGTGGAGGAGAAGCATTTACTGCTTCTTGAAGGTGAGTCACCTTCCATGAAAATGTCAGGAACCTCTGACTGACAGATTCTCCACCACATGAACATCCTCTCCTTGAAGTGGTAAGGCTGAGGGCTAGCATCTTGTTCCCTCTGCCTTTACTGAAGAAAGTGTCAATTAGGTCTGTGGGGCATCTCTCCTTCACCATTAACTTATGTTTAAAGAAGGAGACCACTGAGTCCTCAACATGACACAAAGTTGGGTTCAGTTTTTTTCCACTTGGGTAAGCTAGCCAGTTCCCCTGAACTTCCCAGTGTACCGCACTTTCAACTGTTTAGCTGACATATGGTCATCACTTTCAATTTCCTCTCACCACTGTCAGCCCCTACCCGTACACCTCATCCAGTTCCTTCAAGTCATTAGGAGAAAGTTCTCCTCATGAGACATCACAAGCTCTTCCACATCCTTCTCCTCCACTTCTTAAGACCCAATGACTGACCAATGGACACAATCTCCTCATTCAACTCTGTAAGTCATCCTCAAATCCTCAAAATCATGGACTACTGATGCAATAAGCAGTGCTTTCCATGAAGAATTGAGGGTTCTATTGGAGACTTTGCCATGATGACACAACTGTTTTATGTTCTCCCAGGACGTTGAATTGTGTCTTCCAGAACTGTTTCAGTGTTAGTTCAGGATCAATGGAAGTTGCCTGATGACACTTCTCCTAAACATTTTTCTTCTTATGTACAATCTCTTGAAGTTGCTCATCACATTCTGGTCCATTATTGTATGAGGATGTAGTGTTTGGAGGCAAAAAACAACACTTTCACAAAGTCAAATTTATACCAAATTTCTGGGTAAGGTCAGGGTATGACTTGCATATTATCCATGAGGAGAAGAGCTCAAAGGAAGCTTATTGGTGGTTAGGTATTTCTTGACAGAGGGGCAAAACACATCAACAGCCCATTCATTAAAGAACTGTCTTGTCACCCATGCCTACGGTTGATCTCCACAAACCTGCCATTGTTCTTACCACTTTCTGTTGCTTTCTGAACACCCTGGGGTTTTCAGAGTGGTAGACAGAAGATAGGCTTCAGTCGGAAATCCCCTGAAGCATTGGCAATTGCCAACAGAGGAGACGGTTCGCGGGTTTATGCCCAGGTAAAGAGGCTTTCCATCCTTGGTGATGAATGTTCTTTTGGGCATCTTTTTTCCAGAACAGTCCAGTTTCATTAACATTGAACACTTGCTGTGGAAGATAATTTTCTTCTTCCATCAGTTTTTTAAATTAATTAAAAACTTTGGTTGCCCCTTCTTTATCAGCACTAGCAGCTTCACCATGCCTAACAACACTTAAAATGTCACTTTTTTCTTTTAAATTTTTTCGAACTAGCCTTTACAGTCTGTAATCTTCAAATTCTGTTCCTGAAGAACCACAGGGGGTTGATCTGGTTTTAAATGTGTTCATAAATCTCCCCTTGGCTCTTTCTTCACAAATGAAATCACCAGAAACTGAATCACCTTTTCATCTGTTTTCCTTAATCCAGATGATAAGTAACCTCTCAGTTTCTACGATTAGGATTCACTTTAAACACTTTGTAGATTTGTTCTCACGTTCACTTCCCTTAAATTTAGAGCAGTGAAGAATTGTCGCATATTGTGCTGATGTTTACATGCCATATTCTTTGCATAGCGACGGATTTAATACCTTGTTCGTGTTTTTATTATTTCCTGCTTTATTTGATTGAAATCACTTTTCTTGATCTCTAGGCCCCATGCTGATCTGCTAAACAATGCAACACGTATTTTTCTAAAAGTTAAACTAGCTGTAAATAAAGAATAATATTTTCTTTAAAGTATACTGCATCAGACTATATATTGTCAATATGTAAAATAATTTTCAATGACCAATAATTTGCTTGGAAACACAGAAAAAAAAGCGCGAAGTTGAAGAGAGTCTCAAGCAAGATGTTACCTCCAGTGAAAACAGAGAGAGACTGACGCCTGTTTGCTGTGTTAAGAGGTTGGATGTCACAAGATTAAACTAGTCACTTTTACCTTCAATTATGTCTAATAATTGTTAAAAT